CTGAGCTGTGATTAAAAGTTAAACGGTTCACCTGATGTTGAAGGTAATGCAGACCAGAGCAGGTGAGGAGTTCAGGAGGGCGACGTCAGTAGAGAGACACAGACCTGCAGCAGGCAGACAAAGACGTCAGAACACAGCAGCAACAGACACAGTTCAAAGACAGGCAGCAGGTTATAAACAGACAAGTTACATTAAAAAAAAATAAGGTACCGATCAGATGACAAATCAAACTATGTGAGAGTAGCAGCAGGAACTGAAGCCGTAGTAAGATGCTGAGCAGGAAACAAAGTACATGAGCAGAAAGGACCGGTTCTTTACGTGATCGAGAAAAGCTGGAAAATTTGAACAAGTGCAGATGGAAGCGGCTGCATTTCAGTTGTCATGTTACAACACATGTTACAACAATAAGCAGCAATAGAGTCCCTAAAACTGCGCTGCAGCCTAATTAGACTCTTTTATTTATCTCTTATATTCCCTAAAGTAACTGTTGTGCTTTTATTCACGGTGCCATGTAGAGCGTCTAGTGGACAGAACTGGAGTTACATCCTGGTAACGTCTGTTTTCCCTCCTCTTAATATGAATATGTGTTCACTGCTGTACCACGGTTCTACAAAGCAGCAGACACATGAAGGGGCTGAAGCACACGACTTCATTCACAGCCTTTTTAACATAACTGTGTCTTCATCAGAGTCCAGGTTGTAGCAAAGACACAGCCCCACTGTTTGAACTGTCCTTGAGCTGAGAATATCCATCCGTCATCTCTACACCTGGGCTGCAGGGTGGCGCAGTTGGCAACACTGCTGCCTCGCAGCAAGAAGGTTGTTTGCAGGGAGTCTCCATGTTCTCCCCGTGCAGCGTGGGTTCTCTCCGGGTTCTCCGGCTTCCTCCCACAGTCCAAAAACATGTTTGAGGTTAATTGGTGATTCTAAATTGTCTGTAGGTGTGAATGTGAGTGTGCTTGGTTGTCTGTCTCTAAGTGTAGCCCTGTGATAGGCTGGTTACGTGTCCAGGTTAACCTGCCTTCTCCCTGAGTCAGCTGGGATAGGCTCTAGTCTGGT